GATCAGGAGTCAGCAGGGCAGGCCCTACGAGGAGAGTCTACAAGACCTGAACCTGTTCAGCCTCCACAAGAGAAGGCTGAGGGGGGATCTAGTGGCCTGTTACAAACTAGTCAGAGGGTTCCAGCAGGCATTGGGAGAGTCCCTGTTCCCCCGAGCACTACCAGAAGTGACAAGAAATAACGGTCACAAGCTGGCAGAGAGTAGATTCGGGCTAGATATCAGGAGGCGCTACTTCATTGTCAGGGTGGCTAGGAACTGGAACCAACTTCCAAGCGAAGTGGTGCTGGCTCCTACCCTGGGGATCTTTAAGAGGAGGGTGGATGGACACCTCACCGGGGTCACTTGACCCCAGTACTCTTTCCTGCCCCCTGGTCAGACTTGATGATCTGCTCAGGTCCCTTCCGCCCCTACAAACTATGAAACTATGAAAAAACAGAGTCTGACTTTGAAATCTACGAAGTCAAGTCCCAGAACTGTGACCCCATCTTTTTCTGGCTTTCAAATTTCAGTGTAACTGGGTTACTCTGTGACAAAATCATTACGTGAAGTGGTGAGATGCTCTCCAAGTATTTGTGTGTTTCACCACTGTATTTTAAAACTTCTAATTAGACAAACCTGTTTTTAGTGTTACTCTTTATAGTAAATGGGGCATTTTAGTATGCACAAACTCACCTGAATAAAATTATATTAGTTAGTAATTTAACAAAATTGTGACTAGATATTACACCAGGAAAAGAGTACAACTTTTGTTTACCAAAATTTATAAATCTATCAGAACCTAGGAATCTATCATATTTATGGTTTAAATTATCAGTAATAGCCTAGAATTTGAATTGCATATTTCTGCTGTGAATAAGTCTGAAATGTGATTGAAATGTGATTTTAACAGTGTCTCGTTCAAAATGTTTTTAAAAACCCACTTTATTGTAAGTAGAAGCATGTGTTTTGTGGCCTAACTGACAATTTTGAATACTGGAGTGAAATTTTCACTTCACAGCTTTCTCTGATTCATACAAACTGTGCTTTACATTAAATTTTCTGCTTGTCAAGCAGAAAGTTCTCTTTACACAGTCAATAACTTACCTTGCTAAAATCAACACTGCTGTTCTCTCTGCTCACATCATTTTTATTTTCAATGCAGGCTGGAGCGGATTGTGGGGAAACAATCTGACCTGCTAAAAAAGATAATGTTATTACAGAATACCACACATTATTTAAAAGGTGTTCAATGAAACAAATTAAAAATTAGAGTACCATACTGTATGTGAATGAAACATGTGAGCATATAATGTAAAGTAAAATTAGGAAGTAAAATTAAAGACTGGTTTGTAATAACAGAGAAATTCCCAGAAAAGAGACCACACATCAAGTGCAGCTGGGAATGGGAGAATATATTTAAGAAGCTTTAAAATCTACTCTTAAACATTTTGGCCTCTGACAGATTTGGGGGGGGCGGGGCAGGGTAGGGACAGCAGGGGTAAATGCTTTACCAGAAAAGGAGCCACATTAGTTTGACCCAGCTCCCCAGTATCTGCATATATCGCGTTTCAAGGGGGCTTTTTGGTTCCTTTATCTAATAGCGTATTCAATCGGCTATTAGATAAAAGTGCCAAAAAGCTCCCCTGAAGCACATGATCTATACAGACACTGGGTGAACCAGGTCAAACTGATGCGTTTTTCTTCTGGGCATGTGCCATATTTGGCACGGGATGCACTGAGCTGAAAGTAAAGCACCATTTGTGGGGGTGGGGAAGGGGTCCGTGTCTGTCAGTGACCTGTGAGGCTAATTCTAGTGTCAATCTAAGTGCATGCGTTTTATGTTCTGTCAAGTAATGTTACTTCATTAAAAATAAAAATATTTCATGAAATAGAGGCAAGGATTTTTGTGGGTGAAATCTTTTACTGAACCAACTGCATGGTTGGGACAGAGTTAGACAAACTTTTGAATGCAATCCTACTTCTACAAAGATTTTCAAGGTAATCTGAAGAACTGCCAATTTCAGGCCCCCATCCTGCAAATGCTTACCCATGTGGGTAGCTCCACTAAATTAAATAGATCTCTTAAGTTTACTCATGTGTGTCAAGTGGGCTTTAGCTAGCATGACAACCAAAGGTAGCACAGCTGTGTATCACCAGGAAAAATAAATTACTGAAATTATTCTTGTGAGAGTATCACGTTTTTTATTAACTGCAGCTGCGTCCTGTATTTCCAGACTTTGTACCCTACCATATTACTTAAAGGTTGGCTTACATGTCTTTAAAAAAACCCCAAAATTATAATGATACTGGAGGAAACATTTTGAGATTCTTGCAATAGAAGCCTGATTATGTGTGAATGGCAACATCCAGTAGCATTAATTTAAACAGGGTTGTTATTACCTTATCCAAAATAGCCAGAAACAGGACAAAAGCCAGAACTAAGTCAACTGTCTTGTGATTGATGGGGCTTTCCCACTGACAGTGCAAAAAACATAGTATTTGATAACAGAAACTGGCATGGAAAGGAGTATCTAATACATTTAAATACATTTTAAACATATTTTAACTTAATGGGGACAAAAAGGACTCTTTAGATGATGAGGAGAGGAAAAGAGCCAAGAATGAAAATAGCTCACTTTATTCCTTTGGTTTGATTGGAAACTTAAAGTGTTTTAATTCAACCTGAAAAGTTCAAGGGCTAAGAAGGGAGGGACAAACATCTAAATACCTTTAGTGAAAAAATATCAGACAGTTTAGTATAGGAAGAAGCCACATCTGGAGTACTTTGTCCAGTTTTGGGCCCCCCTTTACAAAAAAGCTGTGGACTAGTTGGAGACAGTCCAATGGAGGGCAACTAAAATGGTTAGGGGGCTGGAATATCTGACTTATGAGAAGAGGCTGAAGAAACTGGATTTATTTAGTCTGAAGATTGTAAGACTATGTGGGGATTTCATAGCAGCCTTTAACTACCTGAAGGGTTATTACAAAGAGGATGGAGCTAGACCAGGGGTAGGCAACCCCCAGCATATGTGCCAAAGCATGGCATGTGAAGGCTCTTTGCTTGGCACTTGCACCTCGGGGAAGGAGCTGGGGCTACACTGTCACCACAAGAATTAGGCCCCTCATGGCTCCCCTGCTGTCCCCCTACTGTCTGCCCTTGGCACACCAGTATCTTACAAGTCAAAGTTGCAGGTGTTTTTGACACTGCTCAAAAATGTTGCTGACCCCTGAGCTAGATTGTTCTTGGTGGTGGCAGATGGCAGAACAAGGAGCAATGGGCTCAAGTTGCAGCAAAGAAGTTTAGGTTAGATATTAGGAAAAACTCTCACTAGGAAGGTAATGAAGCACTGGAACAGGTTACCTAGAGAGGTGGTGGAATCTCCATCCTTGGAGATTTTTAAGGCCTGACTTAACAAAATCCTTGCTGGAATGATTTAGTTGGTGATGGTCCTTCCAGCCCTAATCTTCTATGATTCTAAGAACCAGTTCAAAGAAAGGGAGAAGGTGGGAACCTATGAAGCAAAAACAAAAAAAGTCTAGGCTTCTAAAAGGAAGAGTGCACTGAGAAAAGTGAAAGTTAGCCTGGCATCCCAGCTACAAATAAGATGTCATGCACAGGTGAGAAATATTGAGGTAAAAGCATGGAATAGAAGAAATAGAATACTAGGGAACTAAGGATCAGATTTTCTAGGTATCTGGGGACCTAAAGATGAAGAAAAATTGACTGCTCAAGAGATGGGCACCTACGCTGCCATAAGGAAATACAAATCAACTTGTAGGATGGCAGATGAGAATACTTCAGGGCCTTATATTCAAAAGTAGTTAGGTGCTTAAGCATGAAAATGAGCACCCAACAGGTTTTTCAGGAGTCCTAAGCAGTTTAGATGTCCATCTCTAGAGCAGTCACTTTTTCTGCATCTTTAGGTCCCCAGTCACCTAGAGACATACATTGAAGAGGTATGCAGTTCTTACAGATTTATCTAACCAGTGATACAATTCTGAGAGATTTCATTCTATTTCCATATGAGAAGAGGGTGCCTTTACATGTACTCTGGGGTGAGAGTGGTGGGGGCACATTAATTAGAGTGGCTCTCAAGAGCTGCTCTAATTAAAATGCTGCAGTGTCTCATGTATTCAGCATCCCACACTTCAAAATGTTTGTGGGGCACTGTAAGTAAAGCTCATTTGATGAGCTTGAGTTAAAGCACTCCTTCAGCCATTTTGAAACATGGGATACTGAATACATGAGATGCTACAACATGCTGGAGTGTTCTAAATAGAAGGCTCCAACAGACTCAATTAATTGAGCCTGCTCCGACATTCTAATCAGCGCACGTGTATAGGCACCTGGCTAGTTCAATTTCAGAAAGCAAATACTATTGTAATTGGAGTGACACTTCAGTAGCACCCGCCTCATGTTCTGAGTTGATAATGTCCAGTTACGCTGTTTGCTTATGTTAATGTATTCATGTGTTTCAGAATGAGCATGATGTAATGTGAGAATATGCTGACCCCTGTATGATCCGCTTGTTGCATGTAGGTCACTGAAGCCCCTGAACTGTTGACCTGTGGTGTGAGTACACATGGGTGACAGGCTGGAAAGTGTGAAACTGTGACCTTGTGCATGTGTATGTATGAGGTCATTTTCTGGAACTTTCTGAGGAGGCTATAAATAGCAGATGTGTGATGGCTTGTATGTAGGTTGTGGGTTTCTGAGTGTCGAGTGTGAGTTTGGAGTGTGAACTGTGTAGTATAAGTGAGGTTGTGAGTTGATAGTGAGAGAGAGAGAGCTTGGAGCTGTGAAGAGCCATATCTGACCTGGCCAGTCAGGCTGTGGGCCTTCGGTAGCGTGATTGCAGTGGTGGAGGTGTGCTGCAAGGCGACCAGCAGTGGGACCATCTGAAGATCTTCTCTGTTCTCCTAATAGGGCACTGAAGCCAGTTGGCTCGTAGGCGTCACCCGCCTACTTTGAGCAGCTGCCAGGCCTTAGGGTACATATATGCAATCCCAGGGTGTGGGAATTGTGGGTGAACCCATTCATAGCTGTATTTCTGTGAGTCTTGCCATTTTCATACCTGTTGTACTTGTCCTCATATTCCTGTTTATTCTGTTTGACATTATTGTAGTCCTTAAATCCTCTAGACGTGGTAGTGTTAACCTGTGTGTATAATCTGAACCCTCCAGTTATATATTCGTATATATATTGTATATAGTGCCTTACTTGTTAGTACTTTGTTAGTATAGATATTGTGGCTTCATAGTTGTGTAGTTGTTATTAATAAATCATTAGATTAGTTCCAGTTACTATCCAGGTCTCAGCTATTAATTTATCCTACTAATCACCCCAGAGTGGCACTGGGAAGTATATCAGTGAATGCTCTGAGGGATGCATTTGTGCCCATCCCTTCAATTGTAGACTTTGCTTAATTAGTATTCAAAGTCTTGGTGTAACAGTAACTTGAAAATATACCCATGAAAACAATGATTTAAGAAAGTTCTAATCTCTAAACTAGTTCAGAAAACATGTAAAACTGCTAATTTTTCTCCCACTACTAGTTGCAAATGTGTGATTATTAATGTGCAAGCTATTTATTATAGCAGCCATTCAATTTGCCAGGCTCAAAATAAACTTTAAAAAAATATTTGCTCAAATGTACTCTTGCTACTATGTTTTCCATCACCTGGTTAATGCTTTATGTATTGTACAAGTCTAATTGTATAATATTGTACAAAATGTTCAGGTACAAAATTCTTATTTTGATATAAAACTTACCAATACCAGAATGTACTGGAATCGGTTTGGACTAGAACCTTCTCAGAAGATAATATTAACATTCTTTCAAATTACAATATGTAAATACAATTCTGCACCATTCAGGAATTTCTTTAGTGCTACATAAAGACTTTGTGCTACTTAATTCATATTAAATTTTTGTTAAGAACCAATATGCTATTTAAGTAGAATTGGGCACGTGTGCACAGGAATGACTGTCACCTTAAAGGGCTGCCAGAAGTAGCATGTAGTGCAAAATTCACTAGTCTTACATTACCCCCAAAAGATGAATTTCACACTTAGCAAGGACATACAATACAGGAGACAGAGGTGTTGCAAAACAGGTGGGCAAGATTTTACCCTTCATTATACCATGAAACACTTACAACTTCATTTAGGTCACAAGGGATTTAAAAAGGATGA